TTTTTTTTTTTTTTTTTTTTTTTTTTAAACATTTCATTGTTCTATTGTAAAAACTGCAAGAATCCAAGGATTTAAAGCTTGCCCCTTGGGAGGACATAGTACCAGGAGAGATTTTCTAAATATGTGATTTATAGAATCTAATTTGAAAGAAAATAGAGTACTTCTCGATCGGGTTTATAGTTAACGAGGTTTTTGCTACTTATTGATACAAATCTAATGGCCTTCCAGTTCTATTTCTTGATTTAGAGAGAAATAAAATGATGAATAAGATCAAAACAAAATAAGAACACAAATTAAAATGTAGTGAGAAAAGAGGGATCTTAAGAAATGCATTCAGCTATTTAGACCAAATATCCAATTAATCAAACATCTGCTATTAATTTTTCATTCAAATTTGAAAAAAAAAAAAAAAAAACTTCGAATGAACAAAATAATTCTGGATCTGGAAAAGCTAGCATATGCACAGAGCACAAAGAAATAATAAAGGAAAAAGTTATTCTGCGGGTCCCACTAGAGCATGAAAAATACCCATCCAAAAAGAGATGAGGGGACCAAGTGGGGAAGACTAAACGAGTGGAGGAAAGAACAAACAAACAAATGAAAGCTGTCTAAGAGCAAAACTGTAACATCACATGCTTCCAAACTCAACTCAGATCCATGGCATACAAAACCCTTCTCTCTCAAGCTCCCCCCTTAAATCCCAAGATTTGACCATTAGTCATATACATTATGAACTAAACTGTTTATGATAGGCTTGCGCATCAAAACCGACGAGTAGTCATACACTTACCAAAGTACTAGAAAAGAAAATGAACACTTTGAAGTAGACATACAATGAAAATATGAATAAACGGGTTGTCATGAACATGCAATCGTAGACAACAGACCTTGAACAAGCATGATCATGACACTAATCCCGTTTACCAACCAAAACCACCACAAGAAAAAAAAAAAAATAGAACTCTATCAAACCATATGCTTAAAGAACATGAGAGCGAACAAGAAAGCAAGTACATTAGTAATGAGAGTGAGTTGGAGCCTTGATCCGCTGTCATCGTAGTCGGTGTTCATCCCGCCAACGCCCGGTGGTCCTAGACCATTGCTACCAGTGCCGAAGCCGTTCCCGCCCATGACACCGCCGGTAGGTGTTGTAGAACCAAATGGAGTGTTTGTTGTGGTGGTTGGAGTAAATCCAGTGCCCGGGTTGGTGGTGGTTGGAGTCCCAGATACTGGAATAGTCCCACTATTTACAGGGCTGCAACAATACATCACCAAAAATCAAATCAAACCCAATTCAGATAAGATGAGATAGAACACAGTTCTTCCCCAACAAACCTTCCTCCCTCCACATGTGAACCCCTCTCTCCAAAAATCATGGCCGGCCTAGGCTCAAATCTCAATGATATCCCATCTCGAGGATGTAACATAAATCAGACCAACATTATGAAAACTCCATTAACATAGAGCCCTTCTATCTTTTCTTCCTCTATTCTCGAATTATTCTCGAATTATAGAGTAAGTAACCGAGAAGAAAGTATCAGCAACAACAAGTTTTATTACCGAATATGATATGGAAGAAGCCAGAAAATGGTTGTGAAACTACATTATAGTCAATTGACAAGAAGAGCATCTATGATTACAACGCAATGGGATGATGATGGCTAATCTAATGGCCAAAAGCATCTTTTCCAACAGTATCTAACTTTGAATTTAATTTTTGAGTCTTTAATTAACAAGATGCTCTACTTCTTTTCAAGTAAAAAGCTTCTCTGTTTGTTCAAATGAAAACTAAATCATAAAATAAAGCAGAAGCATACCTAGCGCTAGAAGGATAAACGCAGCCTGAAATGCCTGAAAAGATACCAAGAAAGAAAGAGATATTCACAAGCATGAAGTCATAATTTAATTTAGTAGCTGAAATAGACGGCTAAGGGCCTTTGAAATGAGTATCTGAGTTAATTCCGAGGTGTGTTTGTTTCCATTTTTCTTCACACCAAGTTAATCAGTTCTTACTTGGAAAAAATTAGAGAAAAACATGAGAATGTAGAGAGCGAAATCTTACTGGGGTTAGTAGTAGTGACCATTGCTGTGCCAGAAAAATCACAGGAACCTGGAGCTTGGCCCTTCCTTTGGAAATAGCTATTAGCAGCATAGGAACAATGGGCCTCGACAGTGTTGGGAAGGAAACAGCCACCATTTTGATGAATAGGGACACAGTCAGCCCCAGCTCCACAAGCATAGTCCAGTGTCTTCTGAAGAGCTGCATCGCCCAATCCGCTCTTGCAAACACACCATGTAGCACCTACAAGTTCCATAAAACCAGCATTTTAAGGGACAGCCAGAAGAAAACGGACGAAACACAACAAGATCTGGACATCTAAAGAAACTTCAAAGGTACTGCAAACTCACTGAACTCTTGAACCACTTAGCCACCCAAAAGGAACAACAAATGGTGAATTATTGTTACATTTCAGTAAAGAGGGTCAAATGCACATTGAGAAAAGCATGGTTCACAAGAAAAATGCTCATGAGAAGTCAAAGTAAAAAAGAGATACCAGAATATGCGTTTGATCTACACAACAGAAGTAAAGAATGCATAAAAAAATGCAGGGAGCTTACGTGAATGGCCAGTCATGGCGAGAATAAGCAGCCCAATAGCTAAAACAGGCATCCCACAAGACATGATTACAAAGCTCAGAGATAGTGAGCAGAAGAAAGTTGTCACTACCACACACACACACACACAGAAAGAGAGAGCTATGGAGAGAAAGGGAGAGAATGTAAAAAACCCTGAAGTGGAGGGTATGTTCTATACAAAATAAAGGGAGTGGGTTTTCAGAGGGTAAATGGCATCAATTAGAGTGGCCCACTTTTGGGTTTTCTAGCCACTGCTCTTTCTGCTCCTTGTTAACCAGTACGCGCGAGACCCACCAATAACTTCCCATTTCCATTTCTCTACTCTCACAACTCTATTATCGTCTACGTTCGGAGGGGATGCTCGAAAAGCTGGAGCGTTACAAATCATATAAGAGCGACGATGTGCTAGACTTCTCTGTTTCACGAAGGGGTAGACACGCTGGCCCCAAAGGAGTGGATTTGGTGGTGGTCCTACTTTAATTGAAGAAAGGAACAAGTATCAACTAGGATGCCGGGTCCCGAAATGAGTGGATTGTGATGTTCCACATTGATCGAAGAGGATGACAAAACATCATTTATTTATAGAGGGGTAGAAAACTTCCCGGAGTAAAGACAATATTTGCTAGCGGTGGATATGAAGGTAAGAAGTAGGAAGTGAAACTGAAAATGTATTGCACCTCGAGAAACACTAAGAGAAGCCGCCGAGGACATGGCCGGCAACCTTGAACGGACCGTTGGAAGACGCCGGCGGGGAAACTAATACTGGGCCGAGGATGAGCAACCAAGGGTTGGACCCGACGGAGAGTCAGTCCAGAGGCCTCGTCCATGTTCAACTTATTGGGCAAAAGCCCGTTCGGCAAGGCCCAATGAAACGAATGGACGAGCGTTGCAGTTAACATCTGGACCATTCTCAGGCCCAAACTCATACCCACGGAGATCCTCCGCCCAGCCCAAACGGAATCACCACGAGGTTATTTCCCTTCGCATCGACGTGGGCCTTCTCGCCGCCGGGGAGGAACCCATCATCATTTGCTCTACCATCGCCTTGAACCGTTAAATGGACGGTGCTGATCTTCCGGAGTAACCGCCACCGTGGACCATACGGCACAAAAACTATGTCCTAATAATTAGTGTCTCGACTCTTCAAAAATTGCTCTGCTATTGCAGCCGATGCCGACACAACGACGTCGACAGAGCCGAATCGGAGGTACATCAGAGGTCCGTACTCACCGGACATGGTGGCGAGGTGGGAGCGGAGGCAGTCCGCCGATTTGCTAAAATATGGTTATGAAATTGATGGGCTTGGGGGGTAAATTTGTAATTTGGGCTTTGAACTAATCGTAAAGGGATCAGGTGATCTAAGATCATTTAGGAATTCAGAAGTCGGAGACCGTACACGTGTTTTTATTTATTTACTTTTTTAACCCCAAAATCTTCATGCATCCAACCTATTTGTGTATATTTAAATGATCTTAAATATATTTTTGACGGTTTTCAAAATATAATTTATTGTTTTTATTTATGTCTTGTTCATTAATCTCCAAATTATGTTAGGTTCGTGCTTATCTCCTCATACAATGATTATAAATATTTTTTTAAATACTAAATAATAAAATGTGCCAATAGATTTTCTCCATTATTTTAAAAATATTTTATATTTTTAAAAGTTTGAACATTATATTTAACCCATCATAAATCTTCTAAACGGTTGAAGTAAAAAACATCATTGATAAACCCCAGGCGATAATCTGGGCCGAGGATGCGCAACCAAGGGCTGGGCCCGACGCAGAGTCAGTCCAAAGGCCTCGTCCATGTTCAACTCACCGGGCGAAAGCCCGCTAGGCAAGGCCCAATCAAACGAATGGACCAGCGAGGCAGTTAACATCTGGACCATTCTCAGGCCCATACTCATCCCCACGCAGATCCTCCGTCCAGCCCCAAACGGAATCACCCCAAAGTCATTTCCCTTCACATCGACGTGGGCCTTCTCGCCACCG